ATAACAAAATCAATAGTAAAGTTTTGCTGAAAATTTGTATTTGCATTTGACATTCTGCTTCAGAGGAGGGTACAGTGATGCAAGTCAGTCAAAATATTCTGGAGGTGTCGAATGAAAATGCAGAAGGATAAGACACATTTCAGGGTGGCATAGGAGAGCTCAGATTCAGCCCCTGTGTCTCCGCTCCTAGCAATCTATCAGGATTTCAAGTTGTTTCTTTCCCGAGGTAGCAACTACTTTCCCTTCTAGAGAACAGGACCCTAGCTTAGAGTATAATGGGTACACAGGTGATAAATCTCAATTCAGATTATCCCAGAAACCGTAAAAGAAATTTGCTGCTGGTGAATATCTAGCTGTGGAAAAGTGGGAGTGGTAACAATTTAGATTACAGCCTGTGTCCTTCTTCAAGCTGATCTGTGATGTAGATTTGGTAGATTGTAGCAAGTCTCAGGGGACTGAAATCTGTTTCAACCTCAGCAGAATCTACTTTCCGCCACTTAATTTTTTGAAATTACAGAGGTGTTTGAATACTGGTGATTTCCTCAGTAACCATATTTCAGATGCAGATTTTCAGTATTTATTGCCTTCCAAGTGACACAGCTGGTGAACTCTATCATTCTGCTGTTCTCTCTGTGGTGCTGTTAAGTGGCATACTTTTCTTCTCCCAGCATTTGCCTGAGTGGTATCCCCATCAGTTACCTGAACACACTGAGTGAGTGAAAGTGAGGAGACAGGCTGACTGATACTTTGTACGGATTATAAATCCCAAAACATATCTGAATGAGACCCAGGTTTTTCTTTATGTTTGAGGGCTTCATGCAATGAAGGAGAGTGAGTAGGTGAAAAGTACATGCCAAAGTCTTCTCTTTCTTACTGTGTTAGTTCAGATTCTTCGTTCAAGAGGGATGGGCCTGAAAAGTTGACAAGTTGTGAAGACCTGGCACTAGGGACTCCCAGTTTGGTGTTAAGGAAACTGTATTGTTCTTGTCTTAGTTTTCTATACTATACCTTGGAGGAAAAAAAGTGATCAGCTACAATAGAGGAAACGGTGGAAATTTTCTTCACTTTTTCAAGTAAATTTTGCCACTCCATGGAATTATTTATTTGGGTTTCATTGTGGATAAGTATGACACACATCATGACATAAGCCCTAAAGCAACTTTTAAAATGACATTCAGGACAACTGTCTTGACAACAAAGCTTTTTTTTTTTTTTTCTTTTTTTTTTTTCCATTATATTTGCATATTTTGCTCAAACATGAAGCAAACTTATGGACAAACCTGAATTGTCACGTGCTTCATGGATCATGACAGCAAGGCTGTTTCATTTCCCATCCATACTCATGATCATATATATCAAAATAAATTACAGCACAATTTTTTCATGTTAACCTTGTCACTTTTTAAAAACAATATACATTTAATACTTGAAATAAGAAAGGAACAAAACAAATATTTTTTTTCACACACAAACATGTACATATGAACTACATGTGCTTGCAAACAGATTTCAGTAAGTGTGATGATATTTTAATATATCTGCACTATGGCATTCCCTCCACAAACAATGAGAGACTTGTTATCATGTGTACTTGCTCAAAAGCCAACTTCCTACTATATGGCTGTAAGCTCAACAGATCAGTGTTATAATTTACTTCCTACTTATACAGTGCCCAGTGTAATGAAGCCAAAGTGTTTGCTTTTAGTACCAAAATTACATAAATGAATTCTTTAAGAAGCAATATTTTTTCTGAAATACCAAAATTACTAATATGTGTACAAGTTGACCACCATCTTCATAGATGCCTGTGCAGCTGCTTATGCACAATGCTTTAAAGCCATTGTTTTTGGCTTTAAGTGTGAGGAGGTGATGTTTCTGACTTGCAAATGCCATGAGTAGAAATAGGCAGACTTCTTGAAGGTCATAGATTTCCATTTGCCTTTTATCCTTTTCTTCCCAGAATGTATATTTTCATTTTCTGCAGCTCAGTTAGCAGTGTAAATATTAAAGCAATCCAGAATAAAAGGCACAAGATGCCACAAGATGAGAAATAATTAAAACATAAGTTCTGCTTACTTTTCACTACAGCCTGCTTAGTAGAAGGTGAAAAACCTAGATTTATTTATCAAATTTCTAGTGTAACCAGGAGCAACAAAATGGTGTCAAGAGAATTTCTCCTGATTTATATTGCCTGACTACAGTAGAAAATCTGTTCTCAGTCTCTTATTGCAACACTACTGCTTCATGACAATTTTGTTATAGTTGAATAAATACAGATAATTAAATTACGAGGCAAAAGTCTGTTCTTTGTACGTTTCTATAACCTATTTTAATATGAAGGATAAAAAATCCTTCCATTTAAGTGGAAATAACATAGAGCATTTTATTGATTATGACATCTCTTTTCTCATTCTGCTCATGCTATAAAATAGATTTTTATTTCCAGCTGGCCTTACACCCAACCACCTGCTTCTAGTGAAAAAGATAAAACAAAGCAAAACAAAGCAAAAACCCCCCAAACCCTGAAAAATTCCTGCAGATTGCTTTTCACATCTAGTTATCTCAGTAGCAAGATTCTCACAAAAGCTGATTTATTTGATTTGCAGGAGGAGGCTTACTCAAGCTCCTTTTTCTTTCTTTCTTATTTTATTTTTGGCTTAAAGAAGGTTTACGATCCTGCTTTGGGATCTAGATTCCAAAAGCTGTGTGAACATTCAATGAAACTTGACCAAATCCAGAGATCTTTCTTTGGCATCACAGTCATTTGAAACTGAGAAAGGACTTGAGCAGAGCTAGGAGATGGACAAAAGGAGCATGTGTCACTGAACTAACTGTGATTCTTCTAAGCTACCAAGTAAAATTAAGCTATTAATTCTTATTACAGATAATAAGAACAGGGCATCCAAATTGCTTGGCTAACTTGAAAAATCTCATTCATTTCTTAAACATTCTCCAGCAATCAGGCCCTTTGACTTTTCCAAAGACGTGTCTATAACTCCTTCAGACACAATTAAGTTTTAAATTACTGGATGAGAGCTTTTTTAGCTCTTCTTTCATGGTTCTTTTTAGCACAACGAGCAATGAATCACATAGTTTACTGAAAGAAGGTCGGAAAGCATGTATCCAGTGTTTCCCCACATGTTTTATGGCAAAACCATAGATTAAGTGCAGCAGACTTATATTTCTAAGACACTAATGCTGAGCTATTTATCAGACAGTTACAGTTCTGTGAGAAGGGACAACTTGATCATATGTTTTTTTCCCTGTTACTTCATGTCAAGCTACATGGTGAGCTGAGAGGATGGGAATGGACAAAGCAGTCATCGTGCTAGCCTGAGGCAGACTAGGAAATGAAAAAAGATTATTAGCAAACTAGTCAGAATAGGCTTCCTCTCTTGATGGATGTTTCATTGGTGTGAGTGGAGGTGGAACAGACTGTAGCTTATTGTGCAAATGTTGCCTCCTGTGAAGAAAAATGGGTAAGGATCATGCATTTTATTGGTGGCTAATGGACAGTTTTTTTACAAGATGCAGTAGTGAATGAGGCAAAATAACTGCAGACTATAGCTTCTTGTCTATCATTTCTGGAAGCTGCTGTTATCCTTGGGCAGACAGAAACTGATTGCTCACCTGGATTTCCATCCAACACTTAGTCTTTTCATGGATTAATTTCAGATTTCTGGAATTCACACATCCTGGGAGTCTTTCTGGGAAAGTCTAGTGTCAGAAACAGATATCCAGGTGTAGAAAAGTCTGTTTCACATCTTTGATGTGGTTCAGTTGCAACATGACCTACATAACTCAGCAATCTCCTTGCTAGTTTTTTCTCCTGTTACAAAGTTTAGATATGACTTTCTCTTAAATATTGACACTGACTTCTTATGGTGTCTCATCTGCCTAAATTACAGTTTGTCGTGCTGAGGATGTAATGTATAATATTTCTTAATTTTCTTCATGGTATTATAATGATTGTTGTTATAGGTGATGCAAAAATAAGATTAAAGAAATAAGGAAAAAACAGATAGTTACTGTTCATGTAAATAAAGGGGACCCTGAATGGCAGTATGACAATGAAGCCAACTTAAATAAAGTTTAGTTAAAAAATGTCCAGTGACATCAGCAGTTCCCTAGGGGCCTTAGTGTATCTGTTGTATCTGGACCTGCTGCCTCTGTTGGAACTAGAAGTGTGAATGTATTATGAGGTACAGAGGGCTGTAAAAGAAGCTTCCCAGTCTGAATCTAACAGGTTACATTTTTGTGGACAAAGCTTTTCTGAAAAGAAATTTTCAAAGTTAAGAAAAAAGAAGGGACAAAAAACAGAGAACCAGCTCAAAATTTAAAAATAAGGCTGAGGTGGGATGTTGCTTAGTCTTTATCCATTGTTAAATCATTGCAAAAAAACCTTTTCTGTATGTTATTTTAATGTTGTCTTTAACTCACATATGGAAAGTTTATCTGGGTGGAAAAAGGGCTGAGTTAAAAACTGTTAGAATGGTCAGGCCCAGAGAGAGGTGAATGGTGCCACAACCAGTTTGTTTCTGGTTACTGGCAGGGCTTCCAGGGCTCAGGATTGGGCCCAATTCTGTTTAATATCTTTATCAATGTCCTGGAGAGCTCCCTCAGAAGGTTTTCAGGTGGCACTAAGTTGGATGGGAGTGTTGATCTGCTGGAGGGCAGGAAGGCTCTGCAGAGGGATCTGGACAGGCTGAATCAATGGGCCAAGGCCAAAGGTGTGAGGTTCAGAAAGGCCAAGGACAGAGTCCTGCCCTTGGGTCACAACAACCCTCTGTCCTTCAGGCTGGGGACAGATTGGCTGGAAATTGGCCCAGTGGAAGAGGACCAGAGAGTGCTGGCTTAGAGCAGCTGGCTGTGAGCCAGTATATGCCCAGGTGGACAAAAAGACCAGTGGCATCCTGGCCTGTACCTATAAAAGTATGACCAGCAGGACCAGGGCAGTGATTGTCCCCCTCTACTCAGCCCTGGTGAGGTCACACCTCGAGTCCTGTGTCCAGTTCTGGGTCCCTCATTACAGGAAGGACATTGAGGTACCGGAGTGTGTCCAGAGAAGGCCAACAGAGCTAGGGCAGGGTTTGCAGTGTAAGTCCTATGAGGAGTAGCTGAGGATACTGGAAGTGTTTTGTCTGGAGAAAAGGAGGTTCAGGAGATCACTCTGTACAACTTATCACTCTGTACAACTCCCTTGGAGGAGGCTGTAGCCAGGTGAGGGTTGGCCTCATCTCCCAGGCAGCCAGTGACAGGAGGAAAGGACATAGCCCCAAGCTTCACTAGGGGAGGTTCAGGTTGGATGTGAGGAAGAATTTTTTCACTGAAAGGGTAGTGTCAGAATGGACTGCCCAGAGAGGTGGTGGAGTCACTATCAGTGGGAATGTTCAGTAAATGACTGGGTGCGGCACTTAGTGTTATGGCCTAGTTGTCAAGGTGGTGATCAGTCAAAGGTTGGGCTTGATGATCTTGAAGGTCTTTTCCAGCCTTAATGGTTCTGTGATTCACTGTGATTCTGTGAACACTTGTACATTCATCTGTTCTTACCTTCACACTGATCTGTGCAAGTGGACTTCAAAACATACTTGTGAGAGGCCCAGGCATTGCTCTTACAGGAGTTATTGACAAGGATATTTTGATACCTGTTTTCTCAAGTTGCTTTGATGGTTCTGACATTTTCAGTTTTCTCCTTTTCTGCAGAACTATTGCTGCTCCTCAGAGTCTTGTTGCACTGGCTGCCAGATAAATTCAGGCTAGTGTCAGCATGGAGACCAGCCGGTATAGAAGTCAGAGGTAGGTTAAAACCTTTGATTCCTCTTTTAGTGCCAGGAATGCACTATCAACCTGTTTCTGAATGATAGGGGAGCCATGTGGGTCAGATGCCTTCTCACAGCCCAGTTCTCTTTCTCCCCTGCAGTAAAATAAACTGTGGTGTGTCTTCTTGATCTCTAGCAGAGAAGTGACTCCTTCAAGAGGCAGGGTAAGCATTCAGCCACTGTTCTTGAAAGAATTGCCAAAAAGGTGCTTGTCTAGGTCTGACTTTGACACTGTATTCCTTATTCACTCAAAAGAGCCATAGTTAGTATGTGTCCCACAAATAAGGAGACTATGTGGAGCAAGACAAAAAGTGTCTCTGAGTCTTGCTGTCCTCACTTCTGTAAGAGGTGCCATATGCCTTGTTAAGTCCATGCTGAAATAAGTAGGCTGCAAAAAGTAGAACATTGCTAGAGGCAGGGAACAAACACTGATTCTGAAAAACCGAATACTGACTGAACTCAAGGCGATACACAGAATGCTGACAGCTCTGCAAGGTGGTGCTCAGCAACAGCAAGCGGTGATTTCCATCACCAGCACACATTTCACATAGATAACTAAGCACATTTCTGCTCACAAACCCTTGCAGTGCACTAACTGCAATCACTTCTTAGAGTCTTTCTAAGGGAATAGGGGAATACAGCAACTCATAATTAATCCTAAAAGTACATGTTTTCTAGGGTGGTGTTTTTTGAATTTTCTTTTTTTGTTGTGTCTTTTAGTATGAAGAAATCAGCTGCAAATGTCTAGAACTTAGGTGAATTTTTGCTTCTAACACGATTTTAACATTTAACATGAAATGACTGCAGGGGCAATAGATTACTAGTTGAAAAAAATGACAATTACAAGGGAAAGGCACATGCAAATGTCTTCAAGGGACAGTTCAGAAACATTTTGTTTTATCCCCATTTGTTTCTTTAACTGCCCACATTAAGGTACAGTAGAGTTTTGGACTTCAGTGCAGTGGTTATTACATCAACAAAAAATAATTTCCCTGGTGTTAGAATTTAGTCAGGGGGTATTCCATTGTATCAATGTTCTACAAATATCATAGAACAAAGAGTATTCTTATCAAGCATGTCCATAAATCTCCAACTATCTAGTTCAGAGCAAAAAAAAACAAACCAAAGGAAGCAAGAAAACCCAACTCTAAACTTAAAGCCAAGTTAAGTGAAGAAAATTCTAAGAACCCTTGCAACCTCCTCAGTCTGGCAACCTAAAATAAAGCAACAATGCAACCAATGATCAACCAATAAAAAAAGAGATTCTCGGAACTGCCTAGCCTTTTGTCCTGCAGCTAAGTCATGGGTACATCTGAGGAGCACAGCTGGATTTTACAAATTTTGGCACATTTCCCTTGATAGAAGTGGGAGATTTTTTATCCTGCTTTTTAAATCTCTGCGGATATTAATTTTAGAAGCACCTGCATCCTATTATAGGTCAGCCTAACTTTGGTTTGAAAACACCGAAATCTAATACTAAGATTGAACACAGGCTCATAAATCACATTAATCTGAATGTTCTGTCTTATAATATTTTCATATTTATCTTGGTTAAACATATATATATATAGTCATTGTCATCCTTACTCCAGGTTATGCCAATCATTTAGAAATGTTATTTGCTATCAACCATGTATGACAAACCTATGGCTCATAACTGGTGGAAAACTTGAGAGATGGCTGAACAACTTTGCATCTTGCAATTGCTGAGGATGTGAAAATAAAAATCATGGTATTAATGATGAAGAATAAAATTTAACTTCTTAGTCTTTTGAGGATTTCTTTGGAAACATAAAACGAACAAAGAAAAGGTTACTTGTACTGAACTAATATTCCACTTCTGTCTTCTCTCCATTAAAAAAGATTCCTAAAATCTGAAAAAACTCTCCCCTCTTGTTCTAAGATACTGCCCCTGAAAGAAACATAACCACATTGTTATTAAAACGGCATCAAGAATAGCTAAGTAATTTGTTCTTGGAAATTAGCTTTGCGTCTTTGTGTTATCTACAAATATACAAGATGAGAATGACAGTGGCTAGAGGTTCATTATATCTGGCAGTATGTTAGCCTTTTTGAGGCTACCATGTTTTCAACATTATTTTAGTATTATAAATCCCCATATTATGCATGAACAACTGTAGTTTACTTGGCATTGGAGAAGAGTTCATTCCTAGTAACAGAGTGTTTGTATGTTTAAATTAACCTGTATAAAGAGTAAGATGACCATATTTCCCAAGGAGTCTGCAGAATGTCTTATGCTCTTTATTTGGCCCAGCACACATTAATATTTTAACAATAGCTTTGAAATTAAAATCAAGAAACTGATTCTCTCTCTTCAAGGTAGAACTCAACTCCTCCATGCCAGCATTAACTAGTGGGTTGCCTTCCCTGTGTGAGAATCAGGGCTGTATTACAGTAAACTGGTCCAGTGTGATATCACAGATATAAAAAATATTCCATTCTGTATCAAAACTAGGCACATGCCTTATATTTATATGAAGAGTAGACCGACAGAGTTGAGTGGTTTTGCTCTCAACTATTCAGCTCTGGCCTTCTACGTGAGGAGAAAAATATCTTATATTATTTCTAATTGGTAACTACAAGGATCTAATTTAGGTTGGATGGTAGTTAAAAGATGGGTGACATCACACTTGGGTCAGTATTGGTGGATATCTAAAAGCACAACCTCTCATTTGTATTGCTTCAAAATGTACACAGTATAGATGTAGATTAAAAAAAAAAAAAAAAGCTACCAATTTTTTTGTTGTTTTGAACCAGCTAGAAGGGAGATGCAAAGTTTTACCAAATGAGATATATGGATACAAATTTCACTGTAGAGTGTGGTTTAGACAAATGTGTCTTTTTCTTTAAGTATGTAAATCCTACACTGTAGGTTTTTTTCTTTTTCCTTTTGTAGCAGTAGAAAATGTTGAACAATTGTCCATGAGCATGAGCCAGTGGTTCATTGCTGATATCCCCAGAATGCCAATATTTGCAATGCAAACAGTTAGTACAATTTCCCAGTTCTATGAAAGGCCCTGACACATCTGCCTCAAGGTCTGGAGGCTCTGTTGTATAACCACAAATAGTCTTTCTATTTTCATATAACCTTTTGATACACTGACAGCTGCATTAAGCTGCTTCTGCCTAGCAATTCCACATGCCAGGCTGTTTTAATTGGTTTTAATGCCACAGAAAAAGCACTGCTAGCAGAATACCATCAAATCATTTTCATATTGAACCTTCGTGGTCCAGAAACCTCCCCTTCAACCACAGCACCATTGTTTTTGCGAGGGACATATTCAAGGTCAATGCTGGTTTTGTGTTTGCCTTTCCCTCGGCTCCACACAAAAAGAAGAAGGAAACAAAACAAAACCACTCCAAGGAATGTGAAACAGCCCATAGCTGTGGACACCAATATTGTCTTAAGGTCCAGAGAGTAGCTGTTTGCATTAGTTCCATTAGAACTTGTGTCGTTGGAGTCTGTCATATACATAGGGGTCCTGTTGGCATAAAGGAAACGGTCTGAAGTAAACCCCTTTACTGTCAGGGAGGCTGAGTAGGTGTCATTTCCGGCTGCATTACTTGCAATACAGACATAGATCCCAGTGTCCTGGTCTTGAGCAAATCTGATCTCCAGAGTGCCATCCCCCAGCACAGTGGCTCTACCATTTGATTTAGTTGTGATCAGCCTCCGGCGTGGGGTAACCCAGGAGATGGTAGGCTGTGGGTCCCCGTCAGCATTGCACATCAGCTGCACGGTCTGTCCTTCCTCCACTACCAGGTACTGCAACTTCTTGTCTTGTATCTTGGGCTTCTTACAGGTGAAGTAAAAGGAGAGTGCTGTGCTATGAAAGTCTCTGAATGACCTCTCTCTGACACTGTCAGGGCCAGCACACATTGGTGGCTCACCGCCAAATTGCAAGGTGGGCTGCCGCTGCAAAATCCAAAGAAGGCGGCAGTCGCAGGCCAGCGGGTTGTTGTTAATGCAGAGGACCTCAAGGCTTTTGGAGGAATGGAATACATTCTCTTCTAGGGTTTCTAACAGGTTTTGGGACACGTTAAGCACGCGTAAGAATCGGAGCCCTTGGAAAGCATGTGGTTCAATGGTGCGCAGCTGTGCCCCCACAAGGTGGAGCTCCTGCAGGCGCACTAAGTCTGACAGCATGCCTGCCTCGATGGTGCTGATAGGGTTGTAAGAGAGGTTGAGATGTGTCAGGTAAACCAGATGCTTAAAAGCAGAGTAAGGTACTGCAGACAGGTTGGTGTTTGTGATGGAGAGAGAAGTCAGGTTGAGACCGTACAAGCTGTTGGCAGGCAGCATGTCCAGGAGGGGCCAGGCCTCTATCTGCAGGTCCTTCAGGCGAAACAGTCTTTTAAAGGCGTACGCCGGCAAAGCATTAATATTGAGCTGTTTCAAATGCAGACTGATGAGGTTGTGGAGGTGAGAAAGAGCTTCTGTTGGTACGGCTGTGAGGTTGCATCTCTCCAGGGTGAGCTGCTCCAGGCTAAGCAGCCCACTGAAGGCCCTGTGTGATATGTACACCAAATCATTGTCCCCAACCTCCAGGGATTTTAGGTTATGCAGATCTTGAAACATGTAGTCCAGCAAAATGACAATCTTGTTTTCACTTATATCAAGCTTTGTTAAGTTTGACAACCCAGTGAACACCCCAAGGGGGACCAGCTTCAGACGGTTTCCTTTCAGCCTCAAGGAGCGCAAGTTGAAGAGATTGTTAAAAGCTCCAGGCTCAACATTAGAGACAATATTGTCGCTGAGGTCAATCTCCTCCAGCAACGGGTAAGATGTGAATTCCTCAGGGTTAACGCTTTTCAGTCGGTTCTTGCTGAGGTCCAAGATTTTTGTCTCGATGGGAATGCCTTCTGGAATGGACATCAGACGTCTCCGGTGACAGCTGACAGACTTGTTCTGCGCTGAGCATTCACAGCGGGCTGGGCAGCCCACAGTGGGGCTTGTGAAGACAAGCAGCACAGCCAGACCCAGGAACAGCTGCCAGCATGATAGAGCTGTGTGACGCATGACTCCACTGATCTGGGCTAACCCTCCGTCAAAGGCCTGTGGGGTGAGGATGGGAAAGGGGAGAAGTTAAGTCTGCAGAAAAAGAGCACTACCATTGCAAAGCAAATGCATGTGTTTTCATCTTGAACAAATCAATAAAACCTATTGTGAATGGCAAGACCTACATCAAAGCAGATTTTACTTCAGTATCACAGAGCTAGTCAGAGGATTTGTTTATCCAGCATTTTCCTTCAGGAGAAGACAAAACAGCTTTTCTTACTGCAAACAGTAAAAGACTTTTCAGTCTTTTCTCATTCTCAGTAGGTTTCCTCAAGACAGTGCTATAATTGACCCAGAGATAAATAGCATACACTATGCAAAAAGACTAATAGCATTTGTGGTAATTTTACAGCGTTGGATTTCTGTGAGGTGATATGAAACTAAGCTTTTGCTTCCCATTAGTGCTTTAAGGCAAACCTTAATCATGTATTATAATCAAGAAAAGGAGCTCCTAGACAATGAAAAGACTCCTTTTAACATTTATTGCATATGTTACAGCTATAAAGAGATGAAGCTTGTTCACTCATACTCATACACAATGGCTCAGATGAGGAAGGAAGAACTGGTGCATCTCTGCTTAGAATTTGTAATAGGTCAAATTGATTCTTTGCTTTTACTGCACAGAGATATTTTGTATGACTCTTTAGAACCCTGATCTGAGAAGGGTTTATAGAACACATCTTTTTACTTCCAAGACATATAAACTAGTTTTATGAAGACAAAAAACAAGGTAAGATGAGCTGTCTGTGTTTAAGCAGCACTGTGTCCAAGGAAGTACCACAGATTTAATGAAAATCACAGTTTGTAAAGGATTTATTCATTCTTGTGTTCTGGTTAAAACTGAGGATAGAAAAAGACAAGATAACCTCTACTGAATTAGCTACTCTTCTCCAAATGATGTTCTTTTCAGGTTCAGTCACCAAAGGCAAGAGACTTGCTAAGTCTACTTAGAAACTACTAAATGAAGACAAACAATTACCCGTTTCAAAGAAAAAGAAGAAAAGGATATAGGCGTTTGTCAAAGAAAGGTGTTTGAGATGTTCAGGGTAAAGCAAACTGCAAGCACCTTGGAAGCACCTTAGCTCCATATAAAGCTAATCCATAGAAGCGCCTTAACTCCTGTAGTAGAGACAACTTGATGAGGCTAAGGTGTAGTGCTGGGTTTCAGACTTCATAACATTAATAAACTTTATAATGGGCCCAGGTCTTGTGATGCCTCTTCTGGATTTTTAATTTATTTAATTATTTTATTTAATTTTATTTAATAAATTTATTTATTTTAAATTAATTAACTTAATTTGGCCTTCAAATTGTGAAAATACATACATAACTCCCACTAGCAACTACCTCTCAGGTCTGCACAGATGACTATGGCCCATCTGGTCCTATCCACAATTACAAAATTTCTCAATAGCCAAGAATCCATCACCTTATCTGTGTCTTTGGGCTTTGAGGATCATCTGGCTACTGCATAAGACATTTTCAAATTACATTTGAGTAAAATTTTTTTTTGTCTATGTGTTGTCACATAGATTGTAACATAAAACAAATCCTCTCATACACAGAGGATAAATACATTTAAACAAATGTGGTATAACTAAATTGATGAGGCAATCAGACAGCTATTTGAACAAATAAGCTGTTTGAAGCACATAAAAATAATACTGAGTAAATCACAGAAAAAGGAAAGTCCCACCAGTAACTCTGCTACAGAAACACTGAACTTTACTGGTACACAACTTGGAATGTGATAACTCACCAAATCAATCTGCCTGACAGAGAAGAGTTACACTTCCAGACTGTGGAATATCAGAACAGTGGAGATTCAAGATGCAAGAGAAAAGCAGATATTTGGATCTATTGATTTTATTGGATCTTAAAAAATTCTGAACTGAAAGTAGGAGGTTTGGATTGTAAGCTTTAGAACAATTGTAACTGGACTATGAAATAAAAAGCCGTTGTGCTCTGACTGTTAAAAACTAAACTGAGTGAAAAAGCATTTATCTTGGAGCTCTGCATAAACTGTGTTCTTTGACTGACCATACATGAATGATGCACATTGATTCACAACTCTCTGGAAGAATTTCACTCTTGACTGATGTAGTTTTATATTCCCATTTTTACACTTCTATGCAGAGACTATTGATGTGAGGCATATTGCACGCTGATTTTGACATATAGACTGGAGATTGTATGAAAATTATTCTGTATGGTATTACCTATAAAAGCACATTTCTAGTTTGTTCTAGAAGGACAACATACTGAGATTTAGTTTCTCCCTTGAATTGTAGTCTGGCAAATAACTATTGCTACTTATCTCCAGCTGTGACAAAGGTTTTCAGAGGTAAACTGCACTTTATTAGGCACTAACTTAAAACTGGAAAACAATAGAGGACTCTGAGTTAGGTGTTTGCAATAAATTTAGATCAGAGAGGTTTCTGGGTGCTCTGATCATTACTTTCAGAGCTCAGTCTTTCATACTGATACTTCTACCATACACAGATTTCATTTCCTACAGTATACATCTAATAATGTATGAAGCATAAAGTAAACAGATTCAGCAGAAGATGGGCACTCCTGGAGTGCTAGGTTTAGATAGTAAAAATATGAAATGCTTTTTGCAGCTATCCAATCCACCTGGTAACTGAAACTTCTAAGGAGTACAAAGTAGAAGGTAGACAGTTTAAAAGATGATAAAACGCTTTTTTGACTGTGGCTGGAATATAGAAAAAGCAATTCAAACATTAAGTGTAGTCTTCTGCAAAGGTATGTGCACCGATAATGAGACAGATATATATTTATCTGTAAAGGGTGCATGTGTGTGTACGCACTTGCAAGGAAGCAAGATTCAGGACTGGAATATAACCTGAGTAAATGAGTAAATACATTTCAGTAAGGACAAATAATAAATTATATTAAATATCAAGTCAGAAAAACGAAGATTACATAGATCAAAAAGTGTGGGTTAGAGGAAAGCATAAATTAAATTTATTATTAAAATTTACATCTAGACAGATGATGCTACCATTCTTTCTGCTAACCAAATCTGACTGCATCCTTGGCTTTGAACTGCTTTATGGAAAAATTACTTCATCTTCATTATGGAAAAAATGTAACCTTATCTCCAGCTAGGGTTAAAAGGTCTAGCAAGTGAAACATGTGTGGGACAAGGTGAATTTTGGGAGAAGCCTAGAGTGAATTTTGGCGATCTATTGCATATGGTACATTTGAATTTAATGAATGTAAAGTTGTATTTTCAGGACATGTCCAGTAACATCACTAGCTAGGCCTACCTTGTGCCTTCAGTCTAAGACCATTTTGAAAGGATACAGTTTCATCTGTAAAGTACATTCCATGTCAGTGTAATCACAATTATTTATTACTATGTATCTATTAATCAAACATGCTACTTTAAAAAGAGAGAAATAATGCCATTAAAAGATATTCTTCACTGCAAGACTATTTCTTGCAGTGAAAAATTATTTTTTGCATTTCTTTAGACTTGTGGGATTTTAATTAATTGGCAACTTCACTAGCACAGTGATGAACTGTCAGTGTCTGTATTCAACATAATGCATATCATTCCTGCTTAAACAACCAGCACTACTTTATCCTTGCCAGTGCAGCTATTCCCTCTAAATGTAACATCTGCAGCTTTTTTTCTTTGTTAATTCCCTCTCTTCATTATGAGACATAAAAGAAAGTAAGGTGTATGCATGCAAGTATGTATATGTATATACACACATACACACACATAAATGTAAGTTAAAAGTATAGTCTTACTGATCTGTGATTGTACCACACCTTGCACTACACAGTACTCCTCTAAAATTATAGCTTTTTAGATGAAAATTCAAAAACCATAAATTATTATGAACTGAGAGTTTTTCTATGTTTGGATGTGAATGACAGCCTGTAAAATTGTTTTCCTGACCTTTCTGGAGTATTTTTCATGCTTTGATAGACTCTGGGAAATGACGTATATGAATGGGTTGTTTATTAAAAAATAAAAATAAACTAATTACCTTTTTTTTTTGTCTTTCTCTGGCTTTGTTCTTTTAGTCCAAAGTCAAGAGTCAAGTTGCTGTTGGCTGGTACTTTTTTTCAAAAGAGGACCTTATTCAAAGTTCAGCTATGCAATTATGAGAGCTCATTAAAGTTATTAGTTAATAGTTTTGTGTGATCTCACCCAAACAGCCATCTCTACTCTGAAATGCAAATCAGTTTGTACAAAGTTCTGCAGCTTGGAATCATCCCACAAGTGCTTTACAAGAATGTGCTGTGCCCTGTAGCTTTGAAACTGAAAAACTATAATTAAAAAAACAAAAAAAAAAACCCCTCCAACCTAATGTTCTCCTAGAATTTAGAGCAACTCTTAATATCATTTACAGGAATGTGCCAAATCATATATGCGTAACATATTTTTTCACTTCTCCATCTCCCTCCAGACTAATGTTGAAGCCTTTAGAGCTGAAAGCTAGAGTGCACTTGACCATGGTCCTTTCCCATGTCCCATCTGATGTTCCAGTATTGTGTGGGACATATCTTTAGACAGAAAATGTGAGAGTCACAAAATCTGTTTCTGTCATTAGCTGCATTAGCATCACTTGATGATCTGACTTGGTAGTTTTGATCTCACCTCTCCCATCCCTTTTCTCAGTCTTTCAGATGAAAAAAACATCAGTGGATTATATCAGAGATGACAGTTTTGCCTGATGGTCACTTAACTTACATTCTAAAAATCCCTTTTCAAAAATATACAGTATTCAATAAATGTTCTAGGATTAAACCTTGCATGACAAGACACATTTGTACTGATTATTCACTTAAATGCTACCAGGGAATCCTGACAACCAGGTAAACTATCTGTTTTAAAAATGTGTGCTGGCTGGACACTGGGTACCCACTGACTTTGTTCTATCACTGACCTCCTGAACTGGACAGGGTAGAAAAAAAATAAAAAAAGGTTCATGTGTCAAGATAAAGCAGGGGAAGAACATTCAACTGGCTATCATTGCAAGCAAAACAGTCTTAGCCAAGGGAAATTAGTTTAATTTATTAGCAATTAAATCAGAGTAAGATAGTGAGAAAAAAAACCAAACTGAAAATCTCTTGCCCCAACTTCTCCCTTTTTCCTAGGCTCGACTTCGCTCTGCACGTTTTCTCCCTTTCCTGTATGGCAGTGCAATGTTTTGGGAAATGGGAGCTGTGGTCAGTTCATCTCATTGCATCTGTCACTGCCCATACTCTTCCTCTGCTCCAGTATGAGGTCTTTTCCACACAAGACAGTTCTTGATGAATTTCTCCAATACAGGTCCCTCCCATGGGCTGCAGTTCTTCATGAACTGCTCCAATGTGGATCCCTTTCATGGTGTGTAGTCCTTCAAGATGGATATTTTTTGACTGTGGTTAGGGATAGTAAATTGTTCTGTCTGTATAAGATTTCTCCTCTGGATCCTGAATTTTAGCATTGCTGTATTTTAAAGCAGGGAGCAGATACTAAGGAGTATAAATGTTTTTGTCTTTGCATGGCTGTCATCATCTGTCACACTTCAGCAAGCAGAAAGCCAAAACCATTCAAATCTTTGCAATAAAACACCTTCTCTTGTGTGCTGAGCAGAGAAATACTGAATGTGCGCATCTTAAACTATGGAACTTCTGTGGTGCAAAGTTTTTCTCAGCCTTTTCTCATTTTTTTTTTCAGTGTGATTTGGGAGGTTTTATATTCACAGCTTTATCTCACACGTACCTATCACAGTTATGTTGGAAGAGAAGCTGGTCAGGCTTTCTTGAACTCTCCTTTGGACCAGACCAGGTAAGGACAGGAAGGATAAGTAACCTTTGCTGGTGGACTGCACCCAAGGCAGCAATGGTGGGAAGAGTTTCCCAGGAGATGAAGAGAAGATAAGAAACAAACGGAGATGGTTTTAGGGACAGCCAAATGACACATGAAAATATAAGACATTTAGAAATGTTTTTACACTGGGACACAATGTCACTAGGAGAATAAATGAAATATCGACTGTGGCATTTTTCTGACTAGACTGTGAAATTTAGACATTCCCATCATATGTTCTTTCGATATAAGAGCCAGTTTGTAAAAGCAAAAAAAATCATGTAAGCTTAGTGTATTTTTCCCAAATTCTATCACAGTCTAAGTCAAGACTAAATCATCTAAAAAGGATGATTTTTCTTTAAATCAGAGTATCTCAGAAACTGTTCAAAGTAACCTAGGTGTTCTATCTTCCCTGTCTCTTTGATCAAGCCTTTATGCTTATGCAGAGATTTTGCTCTCCCTTCATTTATGGATCTCTTAAATATTTCAGCATTTATATAAACTACAAAACATTAAGTCGTAATTATATAAAAAATATTAGGAGTAATAAATAGATTTAAGGATCCTTGAATAACAGCAGCAGCAGCAACAACCACTAGTCTGACAACTCATTGAACTGGAAGCAAAGTTTTGATTCAATTATTCTGCAGTCCTAGGATGTCATGGGGTGACTTTACATTTAAGATATCTTCGGGAGCTGGGAGGAAGTTGAAGCTGCAAGAGGCTGATGGGAGTCTTTTCTTGTGACCAATTATTGGTCATTTCTGAGAATTGGTGGAGGTTTTAACCATTGAGAAGTGAGATCAACTTGTGAACACCACCTCAAGATGTAAAGCCAGAGTTCTCTTGTTCTCTGTTTCTGGCTGTGAAAGGTAACAGAGCTCCAGGCCTCCCATTCCCTGCCCAGGCCATGCGGCCGGGCGGGGGCTGGGCTGGGCCCAGCGGCTCCCGGCCGGGAGATGGGGCCTGTGGGGCTTGCCCCGAGCTCTGGCCGGGCCAGGCCGGTCCCTGGCTCGGCTGCAGTTTTTGCTGTGACTGAATTCACCAGAGACTGCCGAGTAAAGAAAGGAAAAAATAGCTCTTGACCTGTGGCGGGCTGAGACAGTGACCACACTCTGCAGAGCAGCCATGAGGAATCTTCCATCGCAGACAGCTCCAGCTGCTGCTCCGGCAGAGATCACAGAACCAGCTACAAAGCCTGGGCAAGATTTTAACCCTTTCATTACTCAGATGAGACTTGCAGATTAATCCTTTTATCCAGAGAGAGAAAAAGAGAGTAATCAACATGTAAAGAAACTTTATAAACTATCAGAGACAGGAAAGAAAAGAATTAGGCTTCAGAAAAGGTAGAGAGTAAGGAGATGCTTTAATTAAGCTGAAATACTTTTCTGTTAAAGCTATGGAGATGGACAATAGTGTACTGAAAAAACTCCTTTAATTCATGACAGAGTATATTGGGAGGAATGGAGTGTTCAAAGTTTGGATTTTGAGCAAAAGGTGGAATAATTGTGATACAGTGAGGTGCTGGAACAGAGTGAGAAGTAATAGTTGAACATTTGAGAGGCAAAGAGAAAGACTTCTGTTTCCAGGAAAGCTCACAGAGACAGATGAAGAGAACTTTTACCTTTGAATAACTCATCCTTAAAAATGACATCCCTAGACTCATTGACCCATATACACCTCAGAGTGATGTGAAATGGGAGGAGAAAATCTGATGGCAGATTTTTCCGGGCAGCTGGCATCAGAGAAATAGAAAGCTGTAACAGAAATAGTTTTCTTGTGAGAAACTCCATAGATTAGCAGCAGACTTCTGTTTCTCTACAAAGACTGATGAAAAGACTCTAGCAGGACTGTTTTAAACACCAAAGTTCCAAAGTTTTTTGTCTCTATATTGTCATGTAAACAAGGGAATAGTTGGGTAGTGGGAGAAAAAGGGGTTTCCTGGAAGTTTTATTCTGGTGTTCTTAGTGTTGTAATTTTGTTAATAAACTTTATTTATTCCTTTTAAGTTTTAAGCCTGTTTTGCTCTTGTTCTAATCCATATCTCACAGCAAGAAATAAGTAAGTTTTCTAGTAATTTTTTACTTACTGCTTTAAAGCCATGACATAGGATCATTCTCTTCTACTAAGTCATCAGTAAAAGCTTCATGGGCTAACATCAACTCAGGAATTACAGTCAAGTTGCATTTGTTTTCAGAAGAAAAGATTGAGACCCAGTTCTTTAAAAAAATTGTAATACAGAAATAGGAAACAAAAGCAAAGACAATGTGAGCAACATTTTTATTAGCTTATCCAGTAGAATTATTTAAAGATTCTTTCAAATATTTGTAGCAGATGTTTTAAAACTAAATGAGTGGGTATAGTTTTTACCCCAAATACTTATAATTTTGTTTGAATCAAAGTGAAAAATGCATGTGTGCCAAAACACAAAAGGTAAGAAAATCACAGTGTAGAAATTATCTGTACAAGTCTTTGATGTCCAGATTCTCCAAATTAAGCAAAGAATTGAAGCCATCATACACCTGTTTTTAAACCAATGTTTCTAAGATTAATTTACCAATTTCTTTCATTTTTCACAGAGAAAGTGAACCTCAGGAAGAAATCTGAAGGAAGAAATAATAAATCTAAAGGATTGTGTCACAGGAGACGTTTCATGCATAAGTAACAGGAAAAGAAAGTGGAAATGTTTGCAAGAATTATGAACACTTCCACTGACATTTCCACTGACCTTGTTGGTAAGTTGGAGGGAAAGAGATTTATGAAAAGCTGATGTGAACAATTATGTGAAGGGCTATATAAGATGCTTGGATGTAAAATAAAATTCTGACTTTTTTGGTTTAGGTTAATGATATAAATCAACCATTCAGGGAAGATAGCAGTACTATCATACTCACATAATTAACTACCTTATAAAAATTAAAAATATTTGCATAGAAACAATTTCTGAAAAAGAATTCTTAGTTGAATAAGTTAAAGAATTACTGTGAATAAAAGATCTTTCCTACCATTTATTCCTTCTGAATGCAAAAGTAGATTTTTGAAAGGCGGTTACAGAAAATTTCTTTTGCAAAGTTCACTTAGCTCTATTAAATTGTATTCCTATTTTACTGGTAAAAAGTGATGTCACTAAGAGATAATTATTCAGTGGCAAGGACCAGAACAACATAATTACCATTACAATAGATGTGTTGATATGATAATGCAATAAGAGAGAAAAAGAACTTATACCTCTGAGAAAAGTACAGCTCCTAAGTTTGTACAACATTTTGTTAGGGCTGCTTAGCATTGGAAGACCATCCATGTGTTGTAGCTAAACTCCATCGCTAGACCTGATGTAAGGTATCTGTGAATGGTAGCTCCCCTGAGTGATGTGTGACTTCAAAAACAATGCATGAGCCCACATTTTTATAAAGTTGATTTGTCTTAAGGGTTACAAAGCAAAATTCCATTACGCTATTTCATTGATGATACTTGCAAGATTTGAATGTTCCAAATACTGAGAACAACTTACCATAGGGGAAGAAAGGTGAAGTTATTGAAGTACTGGGGGGGAAATCATATGACAACAAAGAGCTAAAGTTGTTAATCTAGGAGAACGCAGCAGGCTAAAAATTTTTAGATTGTGGAAAATATTAAAAATCTCTTTCAAGCTAGGATTCATTACTTCAAAGTAGACCTTAAATTTCACAGTGTGTCTAGGCAGGTGAATCTTAAAATTCTTTGCTACCATGAATAGGACACCTGGTGGGTGAATATGAAAGTGTTAAATACTATACCTGCTTTTCATATCTGCTGTAGCTAATGAAGTCTGAATAAATTAATTGAAAGCTAAAACAGTATGAAGGCTAACTGCCTTGATTAAAGGTTAGGAAGCTTTTTTCAACAACAACTCTACATTAGAAGTTTATCTTCCTCTTGACAGAAACAGTCTTTCCTCTCAAACTGCCTGGGCATAACAAAACAGATGACACCACTGTGGCTTGCACAGTACTTCTTATGTAGAAAAACAGGGATGTAATTTCCTCTGAAGTTTTAATTCTAAAATCCAGCTACTTCTCATCTTTAATGAGTGAAGATATTGGTGATGGAAAGCTGCTGAATGGAAAAAAAGGAAGCTGCTTTTAAAATCTGGATTGATAGCAGTCTTTTGAGGGCTAGGACATTCAAGCACATTGAATTTCATTTCAGTAATCCAATTAGGAAGCCACAAGCAATCTGCACTATATATAAATCATTATGAGAAACATTCTTGATATATCCTGTTATAAACTGATGTTTTCCTTCAAATATGCGAACATTTAAGTCCAGAGAGCTCTGCTGTCCCAGTAGTATTCTGACTTCCACCTTTTTTAAACAGGTTCTCACTGGTAAGCTTGACTGTATGTTTTGCAAACTTCTGCCTGTTGGCATAATTTTGTTTTCGTTAGCTTTAAAACCAAAAATTCTTACTTTTTATCTTTCCCACATATGAAGGCTAGGTGACAATGACCATATTTCCTATTAAGTGAGGCAGACAGATTAATGGGCCATGAGCAGCTGAGAACTTTTTACCTAGCAGCTCTATGAACAGGACAAATGTGAAACCAAAAGTACTTCAGATGGTATGGCTCTGGTAGAGTTAATTCTGATGTTGACCACAATCCTGACATTACTGTCAACAAAAAGGGTTTCGAACTATTTAAATCTTCTGATTTTGGTCCCTGAAGGATTTTTTTGGTTTTTTTTTTATGGCAGCAACACAGAGCCTGGTGAAAAATCATGGTGTCCTGAAGCTAAAATGTACAGAGAATGTGCCCAGGAAGGATAAGAGATCAGTTAATTAGTACTACATGGGCTGTTGCTTATTCATAACAGAATTCAAAGGATCTTTAGTCAAAAGGCTCTGTATTTTATTATAACCTATTTTTGTTTAGCACATCTGAAAAGTGCTAAATGTATTATACAAGGGTTACATTAATCTGTCTTACCTAGAAGTAGATAGAGTTTAAAATTGTTTGAAAATACCTGAAAATTGAATTTAATGGGAAAGCTGAAGAAATTGAAACCAATATATTTTGTTTTATACGAAGACAAGAATCTCAGAATTATGTTAGTGTAGCGTGTATGATAGTGGGGAGACAAGACACACTTAGCAAAGTTGCAACAAATAACTTCAGTACCACTTATCAGCAAGAAAAAAAGTAAATCCTTCCTATGTTACTTTCTCACACCTTGATAAGCATGTTTGCAGCAGTTTTATTTGTATCTTTCACAGAAACCCTATCAGACAAAGCAAGGAGTATATGGGACTATCTTCACACCACCACGCTCAAGGCCTTCACAGAACAACCTTGCAGCAAGCTGCTGACCTATCTGCTGCTGCTGCTCCTTTTGACTGCAGGAGTAGTCAAAGTCTGGAAAGACAGTATAAGAGCTACAGCATTATATTTGGAACATTAAAAATAAGCAAAAGGAAATGAGTACAATTCTTAGTCTTTGCCAGAAGGTCCTCAATTCATATTATGGCTTCAAATACAGAGTGGCTATCCTAGTAGAAAATTGTGGACACCTTTTGAGGGTGGCACAAAGGAAAGAAGGGATATATGTCAGCACATTGGTCAACAGTAACTGTTCCTGTGTGAAGAAATTTCATGGTAGACCTCACTGTAGCCACATAATAGCTCAGGTAAGGAAGATACCTTTGGGAAAGCTGCATTGAACTACTGCACTTTGAATTAAAATAGAGTTGGTTATAAGATATACAGTTGAGATAATAAAATAGCAACCGGCCTTGGAAATTTCCTGTTTCCTAAAGGCATTCTTAAAACATACTTAGATTCAATATCACCATGCAGATGGATTAAGGTAATGCATTTGGAAATAAGACCTGACATGTTTGCAGGTGGACAAGACACAGCCATTAATCTCTGCTGTATTCATACCTATACTCCTAGAATGTTACTCCAGATAACTAGTGGTGTCACCATGACCTGAACTAAGTCTCTCTGTTGAGCAAAAAAAGAATAAAAAGAGCTACAATGTGGAAGACACCAAGAAGATGAAATCTGATAGTCAGATGTATTTTTTTTTCACCTGGATCAGTCATAATTAAGCCCTTTATTTGAGCCTGGCCCATTGCAGAGCTCTTAGTGTCACAGCACTGCTCTAGGTAGATTCCAAGTCATGCAGACAGAAATTTGCTAACTCTTCTATGCTAGACAGACAAATTACTCAGCACAATTGAAACCTATTCTTCTGAGAATTTACAGTCACCCAATTGCTGGAAATCTGTACCCATATTTGCTATGGTATTAGAAGCAATTTTCCAAATCCTGGCAATGGAGGCCTATTACCTGAATGCTTTTTTTTGACTTTGTATTTTTACATTTATTTAGAAAAAAAGAGACACTTTCCTAAGAAACTGCACCTCATTCAGTTTGTAGCAGATCTAACGAAAACAATTTTTGTATGAGACAGAGCCTCTGCTAATTGAATTAGTATGTATTTGTTAAACATTTTCTTTAATTTCTAGCAAAAGACAGCTAATACTTAAACAATATGCCAAATACTTTAATTTTCCTGGTTAATCAAGATAAAGGGATTAGAAAACACAGCTTTCTATATTGAATTTACTCATCTGCCCTAATGTGCTAGCACTAGTTACAAAGGTAATTGTGTATAGTTTTTAAGCTAGTAAATACTTGTTTTTTCTTTGTTTTTCATAAGAAGACAGCCTGTGTCTATGTAACCCTGCTGCTTCCTCAAGAAGCTGACATATCACATTAACAGTGGATGGTGCTGTGTCCTACAGCTGTCTTGATGTATGTGTGATGTCCAGAATCTGATGCCAGCCAGCAGACATTTGTGTTGCAAAGAGCTGGTGCAAAGCTGCAAGCACTGAGACTGCTGCACTGTCCAGTAACTATTACAAGCTCATCTATGGGCTTACAGTCTCTTGGAGGACCTGCAACAATTCTTCACAGCACTGCTGTACTTTGCTCAAGTAGTAAGGAGTAAACTTCAACTCCACACATATAATATTTGCAGGAGTTTTCTTCTTGGTTTAGACCTACAGATTTCAGCGCAAAGATGGTGATCTAAGTTATATTTTCTGCCTGACTTTACAGATGTACAGTGTAAATTTGCAAAAAACAAAAGCCTTTTTCTCTTGAAGTTAATTTAACATTTGTTGAAACCTTTTTTCCCAGTGAATTATTTTTTTTCCAGTAATTTTTTTTCCTCAAACCATTTTGTACATTGCATATTTCATTAAAACCATATCTAGAAACAGTTTCAATGAGTAACTTTCAACCGGTTCATGCATACTAGGACTCACTAGGACTCACAAAAATGCATATATGCTTAGATGTCCTTAAAGGAGAACACTATTTATATCATCTGTATTAATACTCTCCAAGACTAATGTACTTGTCCTTGTCCTAAATAAAATTAATGCTAGAATTGCTTCCTATTGCCAGCGTACTTTCAGACGGCCTAAATTAAAAAAAAAAAAAGCAAAAAACTTGAGTCTGCATGAATACATCCATAATGATGTCTCCATTTTATTCCTAATTAAAAGCTCATTAATATCAAAGACAATTGTAAGAAACCCAGATGAGACCTTATCATTTGGGATTTTAAGATTGAAGGCACTCACAATATCAACTCAAAATCATTTATTCAAAAACTCCTGTAGGTGTTCTGTGAAATAAAGTGTTATGCTACAGCAAGCAATTGATATACCTCTTTATGAAGGCTGTATGTGATTTTTCATCCTTTCATTTAGTTTTTAGCTCTGAAAAGTAACTTAGGCCACAAAGCAACTGGCAACATCAAAGAAGGGGGAACTGAAAGAGAGTAATTGATTCATTCTCAAAAGCACTGAACATTTCAGCATTACTGGTGCACGGGAGTAGGAAGGGGTATGCAAAAAGGGAGGATATATGAACAGAAAGGATAGTGTTTAAACTGTGAGGTCTTCCAGCATCATCTCCAAAAGACAGAGTAATTACATGTGTGTGTAATTTTTGAGCAGGGCATTTATATAAATTAAATATCTCTGTAGCTGCTGAGGAAAAACAAAAGAGACATTTATTTTACCTTGTATGCTGAGAGGAATATAATGCCCTTTGAATCTGGAGGTGAAAGGATATCCACAAAGCAAAGGATGCTGATGATGTTCCTTTGTTCTGAAATATATGACTTTCTCTAAACTCCTTCCCAGTAAGTTATAATTCAGTTAATTTAAAAAAATTCACAGCAGTCTTAAGCTTTATTACTTATCATAATGACAAACATTGCTAAAATTATTTAGAATTTAAGAATAATCACAAAAACAGTGTTTATTTGAATGCATAGGTAAAAGGGTGATATCAATTAGGTAGATAATGAGATTTCCTTTTCAGGCTGTTCCTGAACAAGGGCCATCATCACTATGATCATTTTTTTAATCATAGAATAATAGAAACTCAAGTTGAATGAAACCCATAAGGAACATTGAGCCCAACTCCTTGTTCCTCACAGAAACACCTAAAAGTAACTGACAAGAGTAAAAGCATCACCCTTATTCATTCATGGTGCCGTGTGCACTTCCCTGTGGAGCTTTTTCCAGTGATTGGCCACCTTCTCAGTGAAGAACTTTTTCCTAATCTCCATTCTGAACTTCCCTTAATGCAGCTTTATTCCATTTTCTTGTGTCCTATCACTGATTACCAAAGAGAGGAAATGAGCACCTTCCCCTCTGCTGCCTCCCATGAGAAAGGTGTAGACTATGATGGGGTCACTCCTCAGTCTTCTCTTCCCCAGGCTAAACAAGCCAAGTGATCTCAGCCATTCCTCCTAAGTTTTAACCCTCAAGACCTTTCATCATCTTGACTGCCCTCATCTGGACGTACCCTAATAGTTTGTTCTCCTTCTTATACTGAAGCACCCAAACCTGCCCCAGCACTTGAGGTGAGGTGGCCCCAGCTCAGAGCAGAGTGGGACAATCCCTCCCTTGCCCGGCTGTGATGCTGTGCCTGATGCACCCCAGGACACAGGTGGCACTCCTGGCTGCCAGGGCACTGCTGAACCATGTTCATCTTGCCATCAACCCAGATCTCTTTCTGCAAGGCTGCTCTTCATCCTCTTGTCCTCCAGTTTAAATGTATAATCAGGATTACCCTGTCCCAGGTGGAGATTCTGGCACTTTCTCATAAATTTCACATGGTTGGTGGATAGTCCTGATCTCTAGTCTATCCAGATTTCTCTGTAATGCCTCTCTACCCTTGAGGGAGTCCACAGCTCTTCCTAGCTTAGTATTATTGGCAAACTCATTTAAGGTACTCTCGATTCCTGCATCCAGAAACTTTATAAAAACATTAAAGAGCACTGGCCCTAAAGTTGAGCACAGGGAAATCCCACATGTATAGCAACTGTAACTCTTTAAACCCAACGTACTACCCAGTTTCTTACCCAAAATGTTACAGACTTGTCTAGTAGTTGTCTAGTAGTGTGATGGACAATGATACTGTGCAAGACAGTGTCAAAAGTTTTTATATGAAAATGAAAAAATCCTGTATAAACTACTACTTCATCCATGAACACTAAGACCCAGCTCAGTAAATCTAGTGAAGAGATTAAAAATGGAAACCTTCTTTTTCTTATGGGATATTAATTTAAGTTACTTTGTCTTCAGAAATAATTAACTGGAAGATCAACTACAGGCCAAGTCACATGTGTAGTATCCAACAATCACTTTCAACTGGGAGATCTAGGTAGCAAAAACACGTTATCTAAAAGTGTCTTTGGGTAGCTTTAGATGCTTTGTGAGCCTCAACTTAATGGATTAAAATTTAACTTCAAGTAGTTACAAAAGAAGTTTTTATCCTTGAAATGACACACCAAGATGGAGATTTCTACTGCTTACTGAAATCCATTGATCAGCAGTGTGAGAAATTTTGTTGCATGGTGCCATAAATCTCACCAGAATTAAAAATAGCTAGCTTTCCATATGGTATGAAATTGCCAGATATGCAACTGTTCTAGTTCAGGGACTGGTAAGTGGGATGACTAACTTAGAAAGACAATAAAACATGCAAAACCAATAGTCTTGACTCGTTTAAGTCTATGAAAAATGGTTATCTGTGCTAGCAATTTTTGATTATCCCACACTATAATTCATGATCTCTAACTGTACACATGTTATAAGAAGAAATCATAAACTTCAAAGGAAGGTTTTGACTGGCCAAACTGGGTCCTTAAAAATCTTTTAAGATCTATGACTTTCTATTGATGTTCAGGGCCTCATACAAGGTAATTTAAGATATACTCAGCCTGTTTTTCCGTCTTGCATCTCAATCCAATTTGGCTTTTGTGTTTCAGAATACAGAAGAATGATACTCAAAAAGGAACAACTCAGCTGCTCTGATCTTGTTTTTTGGGCACCCATATTTTAATTCAACATCTTTTATATAATCACAGCGCAGAAAATCCTCTGAAAAGCAATAATCTTTGTTCTTGTGCATGACAGAAATACAAAACCAGGTCCCTTTCTTCCCCAAGCTAATTTTTTCGAAAAGCTTTCTATGCTTTTCCATTTGATTTCCTGATTTCACATCCAACTAGCTCAAAAACATTGTAATGTTATGGCTCAGCAATTCCACTAGTTTTGTAAATGAAACCAGGGGAAGCTGCAGCAATGACCAATCCTCTGTCTTTTACTGAACCAGCTGCTATGGGTATAAGATTCATAAAGGTTAAAATTCATATATTTTTAGGCTTTTTTTTTTTTTTTTTCTAAAGGGAAAAGAACAATGACTATAGGTTTCCTTACTCCTGTAATTATAAATACACAGAACTGAGTCATAAATTTAAAGGAAATCAATACCTGACCCTAGCAGATGATACAAAGCTGTGAAAAGTGTTCAATGTTTCCATAATGCTGTCTTTTCTGGCTAAGCAAAAATAAAAATGATTTGTTGTTTTCCTCCTTTCCTGAAGTTATCATAACTTCATGATTATAAGTAGTTATATACCATAAATGGATGAGAATAAAACAACAATCACCCAAAACTCCATTTTCAGTGTCCTTTAAAACAGAGCACAAACTGTGTCTGCAGTTATTAAAGGAGCACTTTATTAACAAATATTAAAATAATAACCTATTCAGTAGCATCATCATAAATTGTAGGTATCCTCTTCCCCATGTAAAACTGTTGAGCTCAGCCCAACAATTTTAGACCCTTTTTTTTTGTTATTTTAAGCCCTTATACCATAACAGAAGAACTGAATACTTCAGCTTAAGACTGAGGACAGAACAGATTTTCTGAGAGGACGTCCCCCACCTCTTATTTACACCTGTGATCAGATTTGTTATTTCATGCACCTTTTCTATTTTTTTCTCTTTAACATTTAAGTATCTGACCTAACATTAATTATATCATAATGATTTTACCTTAGTTGCTTTCACGCTTGTCAAATCAAGTTATCATAGACTATAGCAGTAAATATCTATTTTACTTTAGGGTGTAAGGATGGATCTCTAGTATCTTATTTTATTTGAAAAAGAGCGTGGCCAAAGAGCTGGTCAAAGTCTGATGTCTCAAAAGATGTTTCAACAGAACAGAGAAAATCATCCTTGTCCTTTGTGCAAATGTGCATTCTTTCGTGTCTCTTCTGTCTCAGAGAGAGCTCAGAGTGAGCAAGTTTGGGTTGAAATGCATGAAGGTGTGTATGACTTGCTGCAAAATGTGAACCTGTGCCTGGTACTCACAACCCCTGAGACTCCTGTGCCTATTGCAGGTGGACACATGAACACTGGACTAATCAGGGACATGGGAACCACTTCTGTTGTGCTCATTTCTGAGTGGGCATGTTTTCAGATGTCATTACCACTGCTGAATAGTGGCACAGCTTCCTAAAATAACATTGTGGTTTTTTAAGGTAGTTAAGGGGTCTCATAGACTAGTTTCACTTCTAGCTAAGTCTTCTGCTAGGTAAGAAGATGAAAAGGAGCTTGTTCCTCTGAAGTCAAAGCAGCTTGCCAGTGATATTGCTGGAAGCAGCAATGCTGTGAATCAAACTTCAGTTAATTTCCTCAAGCAAGGCATTTTGCCAATGTCTGTGTACTTGTGAACAAAATGTATGATCAGACTCATACTAAATAGTAGCAATACTTTACTCACTGTCAGGATTTCCCTAGGCTTATGAGCTCTCCATCAGCTTTGATGCATCTGGTATAGACTCTTGCAGCAAGACAGGACTTCCTCAGGTAGTTTTAAGTACAAAAGCATTATTTTTTTTTTAAGATTATGAACAGTGGTTATCTCAGATTGGAGCCCTGGATTTTCCTTCCTTCTTTACTATATAAACAGAGGTCAAATAAGAAGCCCTTTCATTTGCACTTAGGTTCCTGTACTCTCAAAGGCAGCAATATCACAGAAAACATAAGGCACGTGAAGAATTCAATGTGGCAGGATAACTCATAAACATGAAGTCATACAGGTTAAGGATAACTGCTCAATAGATTGTGTTATGTTTTCCATTTTTCTCACTCTAACGTTCCTAGAAGTGCCTGGGGTTTTTATTTTTTCTCACCATCATAGAAAATCTATTTTTTTAATAGTGTCATTTAAACATAATCCTTTGTGCTAGAAGGAAAAAAAAAAATTAGAAAATGTT